AAAAGTTACTGTTAATTCTGAATTTGGGTTCAAATTAGCTGTTGAACAAAACATCCCAAATTTCCTGCTCAATTCTACAGTTCTACATCTATTTTAAATGCTTCAAAAGCGCCTCTTCTCTTTAATTTGTTCCCATGGCTACCATTCAAAAGTTTCATTCGTTTTCCGAGCGGAGAACTCTCCAAATCGTTACTGCAATCTACCAGTTGACTTTTCCTTCTTAATCTAGTTGAAGGCTCTAACCCCCAGACCAGAGACATTGCAGCAGCAAGAGAACCAGCATTGCCTTGCACTCCTTGATGCTCCCGCAGGGATGAAACCCTCGCTCGGGGCTGTCCCGGGTCCCGGCGCGGACAATGCTCGGCTGCCCAGCGCAGGAGGTTAAATAGAGATTAACCTTTTACATCCCCCTACCCTTGGTGAAGGTGCCCGTCCTCAGGCCCTGCAGCAGGACAAACAGCTTGAGTGAGGTGCGGCTGCCCAGGGTCACGTCCCAGCAGGAGCCACCCAGGGCCAGGCACCCTCACCAAGCGTAGGGGCATGTAAAAGGTTAATCTTTATTTAACCCCCCCACAATGTCCCCGCTGGGGTGGGAAGGGTGGGGGCTGCAGCCAATGCCTGCTTGAGCGGCGGCTGGTGACTGGTGTAACTGGTAAAGGTGCTGGTTTGCACTGGGATGATGCAGGAGAGGTCCGAGATCCCTGGAAAGTGTCGATTTATGGTACAGATCAGAGTGGGGATGTTGAGCTGAAAGGTGCTGGGCAGCACTGAGGGCTCAGCCTGGAGGTGGGGAGACCCTGCTGCTCTCACCCTTCCTCCTGAAGGAGCAGACCTGCCTGTCCCCAGCCCGCAGAGCACTTGGGGTGACTGGGAAAGGCAAGGAAGGACAGAGGGAGGCCCTTGGTGGTGACAGGCTGCAATCACAGATATCCATGGGGTTTCTGGCTGTTCACACACCCTTCACAGAGGTTAGAAAAATCCCCTATTGGGAACAGTTCCTCCATCCCTGCTGAGCTGGGGAACATTAAGTAGGTGATAATAAGCGGTCCCTGAGTGGGAGGGCCTGCTCTGCTCTGGAAAGTGCTACTCCAGACAATTTATCATTCAAACAAAGAGGGGGAAAAGGGTTAAACACTGCCCGGCCTCTCCAGCCAGTGGTGGCTTTGGTTATCTGCAGCATGGCTGCAGGGCTACATGGTGCCTGTACATGTTTGGGGATCAGGAGTTAAGTGTTTAAATGATAAGTGATATCTTAAAAACATAAGTTTAGCAATGAATCTTTACCGACAATACTATAGTATTAGTTAATAGGCAGAATTAACTCACTGGCCTGGGGCCAAGCCCGTCACAGCCAGAGCCAGAGCAGCTGAAGCTGCTTTTCACTTGGGTTTTGCTTTTACCAGATTTTCTGCTGCACAGAGAGAGACTCCAATTTCTGTAAAAATATGCTTGTGTTTTCCTCCTCCCAACCTGCCCCTGTGAGCTCAAGGTTCCTTGGAGCCCAAGGGATTCAGCCAGGACCTGGAAAGCTTCCCTCTTGCATGCAGAGGTGTGACCAAGGGTGTCCATTCAGGACCCAGGGTGCTGATTCTCTGCAGGACATCTCTCAAAGGCCCTGGAGATCCCTGGGCTCCCTGTCTGCTCTTGGTGGGACTTTACAGGCAGATTTACTCTAGGTGCCAGCACTCTCCATCTCTCCCATCCCACATAAACCTCCCTCCGCCTTAGATGGGGAACTGAGACTGACCAAGTAGCTTCCTTGAACCAAAGAAGCATCTCCTGAATCTTTCTGGTAGCTGAGGCTCCTTGGAATCCCCAAAGACCACTGCACTGAGCCTTGAGTCTGTGCCTGACAGCCCAGTGTCACCACTTGCTGCTTTCTCTGTGCCTCCCTTGACTCCCAAGTGTCACCTGCTGCACCTCTTTAACCTCACAGAGGGTGAGAGGGAGCCACCTCCTCCAGGTGTGATGAGCCAAGGGCTTCAATGCAAATGACCTTTTTCTTTCTGCATCAGGAACTGAAAATGCAGCATTAAATGGGTCACCATCAAACCTGTTTTAATGTCCCCTAGATGTCATCTCTCCTGGCCTTGTTGACCTGGGAACCATCTTTAAATGTAAACCAAAATGTGGGTCCAGCTGGAGGGGTGGTTGTCCCATTTTTGTGACCCCCATCAAGGCTGTACCTGCTGCTCTCTGCAGCAGGGCTTTAGTGTGCTGTGGCAATGCTGCCCAAGGGTTACCTGTGGGCAGCAAGGACCAGCAAAACTAGTGTAACTTGGCTGCCAAGCTGGCCACATCCAAGCTGCCTGATGGTGGCCACAGTTCCAAGGCCACTTGTCACCAGATGGCAGCAAGGGGAGCATCAGCTCACAGTGTGGCTGAGGACAGCGGTGAGGACACACAGTGCTCCCTGGGCCATGGCCAGCCTCCAGTGAAGCCGCTCAGTCTGGTGCAGAGAAGGACATCGGAGGAGTCTGGAGTCACTTGTCATGGCACGGTGCTTTGTGGCACTTGCTGCTCTGCTCAGATATTGAGGCATGGTGACCAGAGGAGCTTCTGCGAGTCACATCACGAGGTGGATGCTGGTGACAATGCCTGCACTGGGAACAGCAACTTCATGAGGGTGGCAGTGGAACCTTGGCAGGCCTTCCCATGGGTGCCAAAAAATGCAGCTGTCATAGAAAGCCCTTCCTGGGAGCAGAGTGAAGGAGTGAGGTGGGACCAGTGCTCACAGTTCATGACTGGCCATGAAGAGCATCTTCAGGGCACAAACCAGACTTCAAGGAGCATGTACGAGTTTCAAAGTCAGTGCAGCAGCCAAACAAGTCTGTGTAGTCCAAGGTCCATCTCCATCAGCAACGGTCTAAGGGGAAGCCCAAAAGAGAAAAGAGAAGGTCTCCAGTGACTGTTCCCTTGGGACAACATTCCCACTGTGTCTGGCAGTGCAGTCCTGGAGAGCTTCAAAAAAATCCTGAGGGTCTGAGTGGGCAGTGACAAACCCACAGTTTGCTGCTCTTGAACTCCAGGCTTCCGTTTTGGAGAATTGATGGATTCTCAGGGACATGGCAGACACAACAGCCCTGGGATCCGGGAGGACTGAAATGAGGATATGATGAGGTTGGAAATGGTGAGTGCTTTCAGACATCTGATGGGAAATGCTGGCTGCTCCAGAGCAGCAGGGAGTGAGGGGAGGCTGGGAGCGGGGGAGCCTGGTACAGTGTTGGAATGGTAGGTAACTGCTGGGGATCCTTGGGATTCTTGCCCTGGAGAAGAATACAACTGAAGGAAGGAGAAGCAAGGCCACCGGCTGTCCCGGCCTTCAGCCTCCTTCCTCAATCCAAGAGTGACCCCAAAAGAGCTTCTAATGATGAAAGCTTCTGCACACAGGATGGAGCTGGATCACAGCGTTCTCATATTGGATGTGGGGCCAACCTGGATGAGCAGTGACAGGAACTCCCAAAGCAGACCAGAGCCTGCGGTTGGCCGCACTGAGCTGGGGAAGACCATTTGGTTTGTGCACATGGCCAACACCATCACAGAGCTGCAACCTCCACTAACCACTCCCGTGGAATCATTTCCTGTGCTGGGTCAAGGCAGAGAACCCAAGCTGCTCAAGCTGCTGATGTATCAAAGGGATAAGGAAGAGCACAGTGGAGCCTAGACTGTTTTTTCCATGTCCTTCCATGGGGAGTTGAGGGACAGGAATCCATCCTCGAAGTCCAGTGGGTCGCCAGCTCCTGGCCTATGAACCTGGCACAGCCTGTGTAGAGATCCATGTGCAGGACGTGACCTCCCTAGGAAGATCTTCCAGGACACAAGTGCTTCCTTCAGGATGCACCTGAATCTTCTGCCCAACCAGCACTAATTGGGACACAGCTATGGGGGGTGAGCAGAGGGCACTGCTGGGTACAACGTGGATACTAGAGGGGTGAGGAGGAGATGTCAGGTGGCAGGGGGACCTCCTGGGGTAAAGAGTCCCAGCAGCAGCCACATGTGATAGAGTCACAGAATGGACTGGGTTGGAAGGGACCTTAAAGACCATCTGGTCCCAACCTCACCACTACACCCTGAAGAGGGTGTGGATCATAAAGTGCCCGCAGGGCAGATGTGGTTTCCAGGCATTGGGAAAGTTGGGGCCTGTTGAGTGCTGAGATGCAGAATTGGAGCTGGGTCTCACCTTGCACTTTCTAGGAAGGTCCTGCTTGACCCCACCAGTGTCAATGGGGCTCGTGACCAAGTCACAACTGCTCCACATGGGAAGTGGGGGGATTCCCGTTCTTTCCCGTTCTCTTCTGGCTGGCTCCAGGGGGATGGCAGAGGACAAGGGTGCGGGTGCTCATGGCTGCCCACAACAAGCCTCAGATTTACCAACTCCTTGGATTTTTGGGGTTTTTTTCTGGGTTGTTTTTTTTGTTTGTTTTTTGTTTTTTGGGTTTTTTTTGGGTTTTTTTGGGGTGTTTCTTTTTGGGGTTTTTTTTTTGGTTTTTTTTTTTTTTTTTTTAATCCTGCTGTACGAGTCCCATTCTCCAGACGAGAATCTCCTCACCGCCCTGGAGCTCCGGTGGGCAGCTGCGGGGGCTCAGCCTCGCGGGAGAGATGCCCGGCCCGCGGCCGCGGGCGGCACGAAGGGCGCGGCGGCGGGGGCATCCCCCCGGGACCCCCCGCCCCTCCGCCCCCTCGCCGGTGCCGGCGGCGCAGCGAGCCCCGGCGAGGCGGATTTGGGCTGAAATCACGGCTTTCTCTGGATGATCGACAGCTCCGGGAGAAACCATCGGCGGCCCGGGGGGAGCCGCCGCCCGCCCGCCGCCCGCCGCCCGCCGCCCGCCGCCGGCCCCGCCGCCCCCGCCGCCGCCGCGCCCCCCCCGGCCGCCCCCGCCGCCCCCGGAGCAGCGCGGCCCCGGCGGGGCGGGGCGGGCGGCGCGGGGCGTCCCCCGCGCGGCGGCGGCGGTGGCTCGGCCCGGCCGCGGCGGCGGGGCCGGCGGAGCGCTCCGTGCCCGCGGCCGTGCCCGCGCCGGCGGCGGCCCCAGCGAGGGGCTCTGGGCTCCGCTCCGCGCTCCGCCGCCTCCATGGAGCGCCGGCCGCGCCGCCTCTGATGCCCGGCCCGGCGCGCACCATGGGGCCGCTGTGGCTCTGCTGCCTGCCCCTCGCCCTCCTGCCCCTGCTCGCCGCCGTGGAAGGTAAGGGGGGCGCGCGGGGGGCGGGGGCCCTGCGGGTAGGGCGAGCCCCCTCCGGGTTTTCCCCGTTTATCGGGGGATGGCACTTTGCCCCCTGCCCCCCTCCCCGCCGCACGCCCTTCGGAGGGGAGGCGAAGTTTGGGGAAGTGCTACCCCAGCCGGAGATGTCGCCGCCGGAGCCCGGTGTGTCCTGTGTGCTCCCCCCCGCTCCCAGACCCTCCCGATCGCTGGCCGCCCTCCTCCCCGCCATCCCTCCGCCGGAGTGGGCATCCCTGGGTACCGCGGAGGTTCCCCCGGGGATGCCCGGCATTCACCGCCCCGTGCCCGCTGCTGCTCTCGGCAGGTTCTTTGGGGTGCCCCTCCGCCAGGCCTTACCGGCGTTCTGGAGCTGGTGGCCGGCTCCCCTTCGGCGTGGTGGCGTTCCCGGCTTCCCCAGGAGGAGCCGAGCTCCCCGCCGAGGTCCCCGGTGCTCAGACAAAGCAGAGTGAGGCGGCAGGTGGGGAGCTCCAGGGCTGGGTGTGCGGGGCCGGCGCAGGGTGGGAGCCCCACGGTGGGCTCTGTGCAAGGGCAGACTCGTTCACCTGCTCCCCAGCCATCCCAGCCGTTCCTGCCTGCTCCCACCCCGCTGCATGGACACCCTGGGAAGTGCCAGAGAACCGGGCTTGGCAGGGGCGAGGGCCAGGTGTCAGGCCAAAAACCGGCTCGTCCTGGAGCGGTGTGGTCCAGGGATGCCTGTCCATTGTGGAAGGGTCTTGTTGGAGGGGCTGGGCGGCTCCGCTGTTCCTCCGGCTCCGTTGGGCTGGTGGGCAGGCTGGGTGGCCACTGCTGGCCCTGTGCGTGCTGGGCGATGGGAGCCACTCGGACGGTGTTTGTCTGGAACATGGATGAGGCACCATTTATTAAGTTGGAGTTTTGGGAGATGACTCATGGGTTGGCCAGCTATACATCGTGATATTTACAATATGGGAGCTTGGCATAAATAGGACTATTTACGTTGCAGCGGAGAGTGCTCGCCAGCTCTGCTATTCAAATGAGCCCAGCATGGTTTTAATTATGGGGGGGAGGGTTGGGGTGAGGAGCGTGTTTGTGAGAGCATACGTGTCCATGCAGGACGTCTGGCCCCATCCGTTGGTGGCCTTGACACTTCCAGCGGGGTCTGGGCTTGGCCAGCGGTGCCCACGCGCACTTGACCATGACAAGCTGATGCTGCCAAGTGTGGTGTGCCGGGTGCCTTGGGCAGGGATGGGGTGGCACCTCCGCCCCTCCTCCTCCTCCTGCTGCCCAAGAGGTGCTGTGGGTCAGTGGCTGGCTCCCAGGGCTCCCGTGCACGTTCTTGGAACATGAGCAGCTTTCTGACCATCATGGCAGGAGCAGCAGGCACTGGACGCATGAGTGCCAAGGGATGGGGAGTATATTTAGGAAGGAGGGGCTGGCCAGTGCAGTTGGGGTGTTCACCCACCCGAGATGATCGCTCTAAGGTGTGCTCCTCCACGGATGGGAATGCTGTCAGGGAGATGGTCAGTGGGCTTCCAGCGGCCATTCCCAGCCAGGGCTGACTGTGTTGGTTTGGGTTTGGCGTGGTCCCCCTGTGCCCCTGCTGTTGCCTCTTGCCCTGTGTGCGTGTGTGTGTGTCATGGGGCTGTGATGGTCACTCTCAGTGTTAGTGTGGGCAGCCAGATCCCTAATCTAGCCTCCCAGGAAAAGGCTTCTGGAAAGATGGCAAGGTGAAGATATGTGGGATGCAGCTCCTTGGGCGTGCCTCTGCTCCTTCCTTTCTGGAACTGCCTCTTCCCACCGCTTCCAAAGTGCCCGGATGTGGTGTCCACCTGCACCTCTGAGTACTTGGATCCCTTTGGTATGGACAGATGGACCAACAGTAGCTGCTGGCCATGGAGGTAGTGACTGGACCTACCATGTTCCCGGAGCTGCAGGGAACCTCCATGATCACAATACCCTCTGTCACCAGCCCCAGCATATTCCAGGGCCAAAATGGGGGCTGAAAGGCTTGTTCAGGGGAAAACCAAAATTCTGGAGGATCCTGCCTCTTGAGTCCTGTTTTCGGCTATGTCACAGAGAGCATTTCTGTACTGCTGGTAATTTCACTTGTCTCCTCTGTGCCTCAGTTTTCCTAATTACAAGGCGTAAAATAATCCAAGCATCTTTCCCAAGGGAGCCGCGAGGTTTTGTTAATGAACATGACAAAGTGCTTTGGGATCCGTGGTTGAAAGCGCAGCCTTAGTCAGTGCGGCTGTGTGTGGGGTGTTTATTTATCTACATGCTTTATATTTCTCTGTGCGCTATATATTCACTTGCATTTAACAAACCTTAATTAGAAACAAAGCCGATAGGGAAGGAAATATAAACAGGAGTGTGCATGGAAATTGGAAGTTGATTGCTCACTGGCCAGCAGAACGCATGGTTCGGGCTCGGGAGGGAAGGCTGTTTGGTTAAAACCGCCTCTGTTAAAAGGAAATGTAAAAAGAACGTGAAACATAAATCAGTATGGAAAACAGGGAGGTGGATGACAACATACATAAAGCAGAGGTTAGGAATTGCCTATAGTTGTGAAGGCGGTTGGAAGGTAATGTGTCTGCAGCTGAGAAAGTTCAGGCTTCTCAAAGGAAAGTTTTTTGTGTGTTTTTCAAAAAAAAAAAAACCAAAACCCAAACCAGAAAGTCAAGAACAAAGGAGTCCTGGAAGGGTCTGGATCCCACACCAGTTGGTAACGCCGCTATCGCTAGCGGCCCCGCTTTGTATTCCTGCTGCGTAGGCTGCGCGCCGATCGCAGGACTGACGCTCCCGAGGTATTTTGGGGGGAGCTGGGAAGGACACGGAGGTATTTTAAAATCAACAGCCTGGCTAACTCACGTGCAAGGAGGGAAAACCAACCCGATGGTGTTCTTCACCCCGGTGGAGTTAACTTTTCACAAACCTTGCGGTGCTGGCAAGCTTCCCGAGGACTGGAGGAGAGCCAGCCCTGTGCCAAAATTGCAAATGGAGACACGAGATGGCCCTGCTATCAGTGAGGGTGTGGGCAGCACGGAGCCAGCAGCACGGAGGCAGCGACAGGCTCCAGTTGGCGATGGAGAATTGCCCGGCACGAGTTTTGTGGAGAAACAGGATCAGGGTGAGGGGACTCGAATTTGAGCATCGACTGTGCTGAGCGTTCCTAATCCTGAGCCCAGTCTTGAGTTTGGAGAGGGATGCAGGGGCAAGAGGGCTGTATTGGCTCCGGGGCTGGGTATTCCCAGGGCATGCTGTGGCTGAGGTGCTGGGCACGGGCGTCCCTGCCCATCCTCCAAGCAAGCTGGAAACAGGACTTCAGTGCTTCTGCATATTTAATCGTGAATTATAATATATATTATATTTACGGCACTCTCAGACACGTGGTGGGATTGTTAGGGGGTCCTGTGCAGGGCCAGGATTTGGACTGGATGATCCTTGTGGGATTCTTGTGGGTCCCTTCCAACTTGGGATATTCTGTGATTCTGTAGTATACAGTATATTTAATTTCACTTATTCTGTTAACATACTGCAATGCTAAAACATAGTCTCTTCTCCTGTACCTATGTTGAGCACCTCCACATGGGGTGTGAGGAGATGCCAGGGACACAGGGTTGGTTTGGGACTTTGTGTATCCATCTTTTTGGTCTCCATAGAGGAAGACTTGAGCCACCCCTTCAGGGTTACAGTCACACCAGTGCATTGCTTTGACCTTGGTGCTCCATGGAGATAGATGGATGTTCCAGGTGTGCCAGGACCATGGGAGCTTGCAGGAGCCTCCCAGCAAACCTAGCATGTTCCAGAGGGATGCAGCAGAACAGCAGGTCCAGGGAAAAACACAGGATCTGTCAAGAGCTGATCCTTACTGCGAGCTTGAGCTCCAGATCTGCAAACACTCTCCTCAGAGCTGGAGGGGGGCAAATGTTTTGGAACAAGTGGGACTGAGGAGCAGAGCAGAGCCTGTGGTTTCGGCCTGGCCCTGTGCCACCCGTCTCCCTCCTGCTGCTTTCCCCTCCCCTCCATTTCCTGGGTTAATTTTTGACAAGGCACATTCCTTGCACCCACCTGCCCTTTGCATTATAGGGGCAGCAAAAGGGAAAGCTCCTTTTGGAGACCAAATAAATCGGTGTCTCATTTAAACATTCTGCCCTTACTACTCTGTTCTGTGGATTTTCCAGGCGGGAGCAGCAGTTCTCTCAATACCTGCTGACTTTCTGGCTTCTCTGGGTGACAAAACATAGGGAGAAGATGCTGTAGGGGACAAGGTCTCGGGGTTGGTGTGGCCGCTGATGTCCCCCAGCTCCTCGTGTCACCCCACAGAGGGTGTGAAGGGGACACGGCTGTGCCTTGGGGATGCTGCAAGGGGCTTGGGGCTGTCCCCAGGGATGGGAGCAGCCGTCCCCTTGGAGACAGGCTGAGGACCTGCCTGCACTAGTCAGGGCCCTTTGTGTGCACATACCTGAGCTGCTGGAAAGAGGGGTGGGCGCTCAGGAAACTGCCCGAGGAGCTGGGCAAACAGTGGAGGCTGTGACAGCTCCTGAGGCGTGATTGCTTTGGGGCGAGGGATGAACGAGAGCCTGACCCTCCACTCCTGCCCCAAAACGTGCCTGCTCCCCACACACCAGCCCTGCTGGGATAGGAATGAGGGTGGCCCTGGCTGGGAGTGGGGTTCCCATCCTGCCAAAATCCCATTTTTATCGAGGAAGAGCCCCGTCAGTTCCCAGCCTTGTTTGTAATCCCTCCCATACCTGGATCTGGTTTTTAGAGAGATCGGGGCGATGCACAGCTGCCAATTGGATCTCGTTGGGATGGGGGGAGTGGGGAGATGCTCAGAGGCAAAAGTTCAGCCGTTAGATAAGGGAAAGGATGGGGCCTCCACTGATAAGGGGCTGAGTGTGGCGTGGGCTGGGCGGGAGGGAGGGAGAGGCAGCACAGGGAGCTTCGAGGAGCTCTGCCCAGCCTGTACCCAGGGATGCAGGGAGCACTGGGGATCACTGGAA